AATGCCCCCCCCCCCCCCCCCCAAAAGAGAGAGCAGGTACTGCCTGGGAAGTGGGGGGTGGAGCTGGGGGGGGCACCCCAGGGGGCATGTGGTCGCCAGATCTGGGTGGAGCAGCCTGCAGCCGGGGCTCTTCTCAGCGGGGGCTGGGCTCAGAGTGGGTGCTGGTGGCGCTGGGAGGATGCTGCATTCATCCCAGATTTCACCGCTGCTCTGCTCCCAGCACTGCAGCTGCCCAGCACAGCCCCGTCTCAAAGCCCTGCCTCCACCTATGCACTGGGAAGAGCTGGGGCTGTACCGGCTGGCTGGCAGCAGCGGTACTGCAAGTGGAGCGGTGGTGAAATTTGGGATGGATGCAGCATCCTCCCAGCAACACTGGCACCCACTCTGAGCCCAGCCCCTGCCAAGAAGAGCTCTGTGCAGCCCTGGTTCCACCCTGCCCTGCCCTGGGCAGATCTGGGGGACATGTCCTCCCAGGGTGCAAGCAGCGATGGGAACCCGCCCCGCCTGGGCAGTGCCTGACCCTGCCCCCAGCTGGAGGCAGCTGTGTTGGAAATCAGATCGGTATCAGCCAATATGCCTCCTTAAATATCAGCTATCTGTATCAGCCCCAAAAATCTCAGTCAGTCCACCCCTACCAAAAAGTTTAATGCCCATAAAAAGCCCTATAGTTATGGTTGTTTCTAGAAAATGCTTTGAGAAATAAACTGTTCTATCAAATCAGTTCCATTACATGTGTAATGCTTTCATTGAGCAGTCAGAGCCATGTGTGAGAATGCTTTTATCCTTTGGTTTGTTGGATTTGTGCATGCTAATTTGCAAGTTGTGGGAATATTTTTCCCCCCATTGTTTTGGAATTTTTAACTAGGTTTGTTAACTTTGTACATTTTTAACAACTTTTGGTAGTTATAGTCCATTTGTGTACATCATGAATACATAAATGCTTTGATGTAGTGAATTTTCTACATATTTTCTTTCAACCAATACTCAACTGGCTTGTAAGGCAATGTTTGTATATCCATTGAGATATTTCTGTAACTTTTGCATTTCGTGTTTGATACCAATATTTTTCATTTATTAACTTTGTCTTTCAGATGGGTCACCCAGGCATGCCTCACTATCCACCCATGGGGATGCACCCCATGGGCCAGAGACCACCAAATATGCCACCAGTTCCACATGGTATGATGCCTCAGATGATGCCTCCAATGGGAGGACCACCAATGGGGCAGGTAAGGCAGCTTATTTGACTTTCTCCAGAATGATCAGAAATAATTTAGACTGGTAAGTCTCTCATTCCTCAGAAATCATGATGCTTTTAATCCTGGGTTTCTTATGTATCATTTATGTGTCCTACAGATACTGTTTCTACTGTAAAAAATAATGAAGCTACTTTATGATTTCAAATTTTAAAAGAAAAACAATAGCCCTATATTGGAATCTGTCAGTCAGATCCACAAGTTATAACACTGATAGCTTAGTCAGTTCTCCTTTAGTAACTCGAGAGAAGTAAGGTGTACTTAACAGCATATAGTTATAAATCACAATAAATATGGAACTTAATTCTAATAAGAATCTTCAGTTTCTGGAGAATTTTTCTTTAACATGATGCTAACCAACTCTCATAAACAATGGTAGAGAACAACAGGAGGATGGAGAGAAGAAATATAAAATTAATGTTCTCCTGACTTTGCAGGAGCTTTTTCCTAGATGTCTCTTGAGGATTATTTTGTGCTCTTGTAATACGCTGGCTGCTGCTAGTATAATGCAAATCTTAAAAAAATGACTGCTCAGATCGGTGAGCAAAGGAACATTTCTGAGATTTTGAACTTCCTTCTTTAAAACCATGAATATTGCTTCTGTTTATGATGGCTAATTATTTTCTGAATTTAAAAACAGGCAATTCTCTTCCTCATTTTCTTGTTCTAGTGCAGCTACTAGTGATCAAAGCCTTCCTAAGCAGAAATTGAATGAAATTGACAAACTTAGGGGCAAGAAGAATGACTGCTTCCTTCATCAGTCTGAAGGAGTAAAAGTATTTGAATGAGTTTCAGGAGTTTGAATACTAACAATGAACTCCTAAGAAGGATCTGGGCCTGGCCAATGCCATAGAAGAAATTCTATCACCATACTTCCTAGGGTTTTGGGAGAGGGGAAGCCCTTGCGTCTTACTGGGTCCAAGAAAAGGACAGCTTATTTTTTTAATATGTGTAGATGTAGCTCTTACGCATGTGGGGGACATTTTTCAAGCTCTACAATGCAACATGGCAGTCTTATGTTACTTCTTAGTTCCTAACATACACCTAATGCATTTGAAAAAGATAAATGGGATGCAAGCAAAGTCATTGGCATGGTAAGTCCATATCTTACTAAGTACACAGGGAATAGTTATGTATTTTTTTTTAATGGTAAAAGGTTTCCAGTAATTTTTAGCCTGTATTCTATTTTTCTTGTGTCATTATCTCTAACTCTTCTTTCCACATAATGAGCAGTTCACTAAACATATATGAACAAAATCTGTAATGAAATAACATAGCCAGGAAGTTTCTGATAGGTATGATAGAAGAATTTTAGGGTGGGAGACAGGTAGAGGTCTGATGAATTGTATGGCCAGTAGGCTTCTATCCTGCCTCTAAGTTTATAGCCCTATAAATAAGTTAGTCTGTCTCTTTGGATGCTAGAGCCCTATCTCTAGCAAGTGCTTTATTTATGAAGCTTTCTGGGTGGAGACACTCTTTGATAACTCTCTTCTTGGGTGTTTTGGTGGGACAAGTCCATTCATTTTGTCTTAGAATGACCAACTAGTAGGGTGCTTGCCCTACTTACTTTATAAGAAAGTGTCATAAGAATGAGAGTAATTGTTTCCCCTGTCTTCAGTCCATAGAGGCTCTAGACCCAAGTACAACTCTGTGATATTATCCCAGGAAGATAGATTTACTCTAGATGCATAAAGGCGCCACAATAGTGAAGAATGCAAAGGCTTTTTTAGGTACCTCTGCAAGGGCTTACAGGGAATTTCACATCCTCAGATCCCACTTAGTTGAAAGTAGCAGTGGGGCAAGAGCACTTTCTTCTCCTGCTTCTACAGGATGGCAAGGAATAGGAGGGGCCGCCTTCCAAACTTTCCTTTCTTCCTCACCCTCCCAAGGAAGCCTTATGGATTGAGGGTGGAGCCAGTAGCCCTTCCAAATATCCCTCTCTCCACACAAGATACAAGATGAGAGGAGAGTGGTTACCTGGTGCTCCCTGAAGATAAAGGGGGATGGGGTCACTTGGCCAGCCTGCCAAGGACTATAAAGGTAAAAGGGGATAATTGAAAGATAAAGGGGGTTGAATTTTCAGGACCTTTTTGGGTACAGATTAATTAGTGACCAGATGAATATAGCACTTGGTATTTGTGCTCTTTTCCACATGTGTATGGCTTATCCATTCCTAGTAGCCAGAGCCAGTGAAAAGTGTGGGGAAATTGCAAAACATGAAGGAAACTTTCAGGCTGTTTAAAAACAAACCTGAAATGTACATCAGGCTTGTGGTGATGGCTTTTAAGAGTATCAACACTCAAGTAAAAAGTTGACCAATCAAATACCAGGTACAGGTTTTTGTCTCCTGAGAGCACATATTGTAGCCCTAAAGAAATCTGAACTTTAACTGTCATGTAATGAGTGCTGGTTTGTCCCTTTTACCGTGTTAGTATTATTTTAAAGGAAGCATTTCAAACTAGCTAATATTGTTTGTTTTTTCTAGACTTTTTATAACAGTTCAAGAACTTCTGTATCAGGAATATTTAACTCCGATAGCACTGTCTAGCTTGAAAAATTTTACAAGTGTTTGTTCTTATAATACTTCTGTGAAGTAAGTACTTTAGGTATTATGTTTAGCCTGTAGGTGAGAGTAAGCAGAGACATTCAGGTTCAGAGTTGCACCGAAACAGGGAACCAGTTTTAGAGCCTGAATTAGCATTTATGATATTTACCTGGTTTTGTTGTTTTACCCTGGAATTTCTGAGAAATCTTTCCATAAAGTTAATTTTTTTTTTTTCCTGTTTTGCTTCAGGGTGCCAACATGACAGGGTAGAGTGCCATCAGTTGATCATATACCTTGTTATCTTTTGTTGATTTGCCTTTGATCTGGATAGTGTTGTTAATGACAGGTGTCATGGCTTCCTTTACTGATATTTCATAGGTGAATTTGAAATATATGCTTAGTGTGTGGTACATCAATTAAATTAAAGTTTATTGGAGGAGATTTAAGCTATTTTCAGACTTTATGATGTTAAGGAGAATTGTATAACTTCATACATGTTATATACATGTATGTATAAGAACTGTATACATGTTTACTCTGTCTGGGTACTTAATAGGCATGTTTCCTGTGTAGATTAATCATTAGGTGTTGGCATCCTTTCATCATAAAGAGGCTTCGTATTGGTGCAATGTATTACCTGAAACCCACTTGACGTAATATTTTAATCACAGATGCCTGGAATGATGCAGTCAGTGATGCCAGGAATGATGATGTCCCATATGTCCCAAGCTGCCATGCAGCCAACGGTCCCGGTAATCTTTAAACTTGTCTTTTTTTCAATTTCCATTTGTCTCAGCTAATTTAATTGCTTTTATATTACTCTGTAGTGTGCATCATTTCCTTAGGATGCTGTTCCCAGTTTTGTAGAGTTAAGTCCAGCTTTTGAGTGTTCACAAAATAATGGTAAAATATTGTATACAATTTTGAACAAGTTTCAGAATCTTCTCCCGTAAATCCTTTAATAAAAGTAATCAAGAACAGAACCATCAGCAATTAGCTTGCAGGTTCAGCATGGGTTTCCAGCAAGGTTGTTTGTGGGAAGTTTTGAAGAAATTTTGGAAACCAGATACATTGTGGTCAAAGATTTAAAAGGAGTTGGGATGGTATATTATACCCAGTATATCTAGATTTAAACCTTTAACTACATTTCCGACTACAAAGATCAGTTAACTAAAACTTACAAATGTAGTAGTTAGGGAAATAAATAATTAAACTATTTTAGAATATGAAGAATAATAATGTCCTTTCTTGTAGCTAAAATAACTATTTTTAGATTTTAAAAAAGGAATTGATTACCTGTTTTTGTAGGTGCATGCCTATAAGGCTGGTAATTTACAGCACATCAGACAACCAGCATTATGTTTTCTGTAAATATAAAGCCTGATCCAAAGCTCATTGAAACTGGTGAGATTTATGTAATGACTCCAGTGCGCTTTGATTTAAGTTGGTTCTATTAGAAAATATAATGCTAAACACTGTTCTAGACATTGCATTTACTATCATAAGAGTTTTAATTTCCAGAAAAGTAATTGGCACCATTCTATTTGGAAATACAGAGACTTTGCTCAGGCATCTGTATTTGCTACTTGGCAGCAATGAGGTGTGATGGAAGAGCTTCATTCTGAAAAATAATTTTAAAAAGAAATAGAAGTACGCAGCCCATAAGCAGATGCTACACTTCAGACATGATTAACGAGTTAATGTCTTAAGTAGCAACCTGGTCACATGTTAATGCAGTTAATGGCATGATAAAATGAATGAGTCCCGAAGTGATGACACAAAGTGTCTGCAATAATTTTGTTACTGGTTCCCATTGTGCCTTAAATTGCATGAGTGGCCAAGCATCTGCTGATCGGGGCTCCCAGCCTCAGGGGCTCATCACAGTCAGCAGCTTCATGTGTCCCCAAGGCTGGGAGTGCAAATCAGCTGATTGTTTGTTCCAGCGTCTGTGACCCAGGCTCCCCCTGCACCCTGGAGACTGGAAGCAGCAGCGGCTGCCAGCCTCGGGGGTGCGTACGAGTCAAGGGTTGTGTTGCACACCACACATTACTCCCTTTTCCAAGGCTGGGAGTAGCAGTCAGCTGATTGGCATTCCTAGCCTCAAGGGTGAATTGAAGCCCTTGGCACCTATATGCTCCCAAGGCTGGAACTGGGATCAACTGACTGTTCTGCTAATTTTCAGTGCAGGGGGAGCCTGGGATCATTGCTACCCCTACATTGGCACTGTGGCATGTTTGGGATCTGATCCCCCAATCCCACAATTGCACCTCCTTCCATTCACATGTAGTATGGCAAGAAATGTGAATGTGCCTAATAGTGCATCGGATTTCATGGTATTTTAACTGAGTATCTGCCAGGGGCCACAGTGCCATAGAAATACTTTAAAACAGGTGGTGGATGAAATAGCAGGAAACCTCCTCATTCTCCAGATAAACCCAATTTGAAATTGCTTATGTCTGAAATTGGGGATCTGGAAATTGATTAAATGTGCTTTCCCAATCAGTTTATTAGTAACTGATATTTATCATTTGTGTCATTCTTTTCTATCCATGCTTTGAAAATGGCCTACATGAGTGGTTTAACATCTTCAAAAAGGATTATTTACTGTGTAAACAAATATTCAACATGTTCAGTTTTATTGCAAGTAAATGAGTGCATGAAGCAAGATTCGGTAAAATAAATACTTGGGTAATGTTAATTGCTCTTTTCTGGAGGTGTCTTTTATTGAATGTGCTAACATGTAATGTGGTTTGCTTATCTTTAATTATGTCTTGTTGAGGCTGCCTTAAAAAAATTAAACAACAAAGGATTGACTCCAATAAATGATAAACTTCAAGTTATGGTTTTACCTGAGGTTGTGTGAAGTCAGGAAAAATGCTAAAAAGCGTTT